GAAGATAAAATTCTCTCCATACATACAAGTAGAAAGCAGCACTTGTTTTACTTTCCCAGAGAACCTAGCCTGAGGCACCGACTTCAGCAAACACTGATTCACAATTAAAAATTCTCAGTAAACCAAGCACAAGAGGGAAGCCCCCAGACCTGGCAGAAAACATGTAGTAAACTCACAGGGCTACCATCATTTAAAGGTGGGAGATTAGACGCTTCCCCTCAACATTGCGAGGGCAATAAAATAAGAAAAAGAAATGAAGATCCACAGGTAGGACAGGAGGATACTATCATTACTCACAGATGACAAGCTTGCCTGTGGTGTGGAAATCCTCAGGGAATCAGCATGGGCACCCATCCCAATCCCCAAGCTTTCTCTAAACCCAAGCAAACCCACTGCCATCGAGTCCAGTCTAGCTCTTAGGGTCCCTATAGGACTGAGAAGAACTGCTCCCCCCGGTTCCCAAGGCTGTGATTCTTTGCGAGATCAGACAGCCTCATCTTCCTCCTGAGGAGCAGATGGTGGGTTCGAACCACGGACCTTGAAGTATCACCCACCAAATGCAACCTATTCCAAGCCCAGATCCAGGCGAGGTATTTCACCACCCAGGACTAATTATTCAGGTTTGTATGTGGGAAGGCAAGGTCCCCGCAACTGTAGATGAGAACGCAATGAGGAAGATTATCGTTGTCAGTCTCAAGGATGCCCAGAAACTACGGTAGCTGAGACTCGATTCGGGGGGCCGGCTGAGAGCTGACCAGTGGAGTGGGGAGAGCAGCCCACAGCACACACAGACAGGTGGTTCGGAGGAAAAGCTAGACCCAAGCACACACACACCGTGCTCAGAAATGGCACCAAAATAGGTCAGAGAGCTACCCGGACAATCTGACCTCACACCAGGCCCAGAGGGACACTCGGGGGCTGCCTGCTCCCCTGTCCTTGGTGAGGTGGCATCTTTGGAAGCACCCCAGAGCAAGATCCATGAAATAAAGACTTGCAAATTGAACTTTTATTCAAACAAACATCTTTGCTCCCTCCCAAAGGCCACTTTTAAGAAGAGGAGCCTGAAACGGGGGCGAGATTTAAGCGGTGCGGGGAGTGGGCGCAAAACCCACAGTGAGCCCCTCTGAACCCACAGGGAGAAATCAAACTGGTCAGGTTCTCTTGCACACAGAGCTGGTGTCTCGTGGAGGCAGATAAACGAGGGCACTGAAATAAGCCCCCCACGCCCGTCATCTGTCCTTCACCTGAATGGTCGTCGGAGCAGACAGACTCATCTTTCGCCCTCAGAACAGGGGGTGGGTTTGAACTGCCCACCATGAGGTTAGCAGCCCAAAGCATGGCCCACATGTGCCACCCGTTCCTCACTCTGACCACAGCGTTGGGAACCCTGTGCCTGCCAGGTCCCTGCGCATGTCACCTGGTGGGGGCCTTATCTTTGCACATCAGCCTGTTTCTTCTTCTGTCTGTGAGCACGGGGCTGCCTCCCATACGCTGTGGGGAAGCTTTGGGCTGGGCTGGCTGAGTTTTGTGCTCAGCTCCCCCACACCTGCCTGTCCTCCTGGCCAAGCTGCCTGGAGGTTGGTCTGTGGCCCCGTCCTGCTGTTAGAGCTGAGGCCAGGATGTCCTCTGATGCAGACTCTGGGAAAAGGATGGAGAGAGGGTCGCAGGGGAGGCCAACACAAGTTCAAGTCTCGGACCCGACTCGGTGCTGGGGTGGGGGCCTCCAGCTGCTTCTGAACTTGGGTCTCTGTGGGTGAGGGGAAGGGACATGGAAGGGGGAGAGAGGGAGGGCACATGAGCCCTGTGCTTCCCTGGTGCACTGGTGCTGAAATGAGGAAGGACTCTTAGATGTGCACGGAAGGAAAGCTTGTCCTCGTCAGAGGGAAACAGCCACGGGAGCCACAGAGTGCAGGGCGGGGCACACAGCCCACCCGGGGTTTCTGGATCTCAAAGTTTCCATCGCACACACAACACACATACGCACAGGACACAGACACACATAGCACACACAACACATATGTCCCCACAACACATATACACAGGACACATGCCCCCACACAACATTTATACACACAGGACACAGACACACGCAGCTCATATAACACATATGCCCCCACACAACACATATACACACAGGACACAGACATGAAGCACACACAACACACACAGCACACACAACATATGCCCACACACAACACATATACACACAGGACACAGACACACGCAGCACACACAACACATGCAGACACACAACACATATACACACACAGGACACAGACACACATAACATACATAGCACATATACATTGCGCACAAACATCACACATGCATAGTCACAGAGCATAAAGCCCCAGCCTACACAGCTGAGAGTCGGGCCATCGAGCCAGGTGGCCTGTCCTCTCAGGGGGCAGTAAGAGGCACATCCTCTGTCCTCCTGGTCACTCCCCTGTGCTTCGCTGCCCTCGCCTGCTTTGCCAACGGCCGGTTGGTGGCAAGTCTCCTGGGCGGCGTGTGTCTCTGTGCCACACGCTGGCCAATCTCGGCGTCTCTGACTTTCCCATCATGCTGTGCACACATCACAGACCGCAGGCCAGAGTCACCGTCGTCCCTCCTCAGTGCATCAAAACCCCCAAACAAGCTCACTGCCCTCGCGGCGATGCGGTAGAGCTACCCCGGTGGGTCTCGGAGACTGTGACCATTTACGGGAGCAGAAAGCCCTGCATTTCTCCTGCAGGGCGGCTGATGGTTTTGAACTACTGGACTTGCAGTTAGCAGCCCCTGTGTAACCACTCCACCACCACGGCTCCTTCTGTGCACCAGGAGCCACAAAGCGAGATGGCGTGTCTACTGTGTACTCCGATTTCTGGGGGTGGTTGGCCCTGGACCTGCAGTGTCTCCCCGGTTAGCCCTGGAATTGACTCTCCACACACACCCCCTACCCCCAGGAAGGCTGCTGACATCACCCCTTGCTAACTGATGGGCCGTGAGAAAGGTCACGTCAGGTACCTCCAAAGCCCCCCCCCCCCATCTCTGGCTCAGCCTGGAAGCTTCCTGTGTCTGTTTCTGAGTTTGCTGCCAGCGGGTGCCCTTCTGTGGGATCAGCTCCCATAAGCTCAGGGGGAAGAGCGTGTGTCCTGGGGTGGCGTTCCGTGGGATGCAAAACCTTATGGGAAATTCTGAGCCCCAGATACACCAGCAATGGCCCAAGGGTGCTGGGTACCCAGGGCTGCAGGGCCAGGCGACAGTCCACCCTGGAGGGTGTCAGCGTGTGAAGTGGTATGGGTGAAACTTCCGGCAGTCCAACCACTGAATGCTACCAGCAATGCTACGGGAAGTGCTGGCCGGCCGTGACCTGGAACCTACAGTCACCTGAGGCCAAGCCCTGCTTCTCCCCTGTACCTGCTGGACCAGATGGCATCCAGGGAGGACGGGAGGCTGACCAGGTGGTACTGTGTGCCCTGAGGCCCTGTGGCTGTTCCCTTGAGCTCCAAAAGTCCAGACCAAGGCTGGTGCCTGCCCAGAACCCGGCCCAGAACTCTATGCACCTGCCCCACCCATTGGGCACAACCGGGAAGGTGGAGCTTTCTGACCCCGGGTCTCCCGGGACAGGAGCGACAAGGCCCACTGGCAGACGTGTGGTGGTCGATGTCTTAGACTGAGCCCACCCTTAACAACAGCACCCCAAAACAACATCGAAAGGCAGCCCCTGGCTGTCTGGAGACAGCAGGGAAACATCAAGGAGCAAGAATATTTTCACAAGCAGATCGGCAAGCTGAGAGGATGGAGGGGCCAAGCTGCCACAGATGCCGAGGGAAGCCTTAGAGAGAGAGAGAGAGAGAGCGAGAACAAACCTCAAGTCCAGATGGAGGTTGTCTCAAGACCCGGTGGGTTCCGTGTACAGCCACATCTGAAGTGAGTTTTACAAGCAAGCAGGGGCACTACCTATTTCCGGGGTCACAGCACAAATCTTATTGCATTGCCCCTCAGCTCAACCCACTGGGTTAAGTTGTAACCTTCGGGGAAACCCAATCAACACTTGTTAAAATCAAACTTGCCTGCGTTCATAACACACAAACCGAACACATAAAGAAGTAAATACACAAACCAATTGGACCACAGCTGCGGGCTCATCTATTGTAATTCAAGCCACAAAGGCACTGGGGTTTTTCCAACCGCTCCCAGCATCCTAAACGGGTCGTCTTTGGGGGTTCTTGCCCACCAGGTCCATAGGGTGCCCCCCCCCACCCCACCCTGCACCAAATGCTCTCTTGTTTTGGAGACTGGGGGCCGGCAGGGGGGTGGGGGGAGGCTGGAGTGTGTCAGACTAAGGACTGGCATCTGGACTCAGTGCTGAGTTACCTACCTGTGTTCCTGACCCTCCGGACACTGACAGTCTCACCTGCAGCCTCCCTGCAGCTCTGCGACAACCTCTACCCCCTTCCTGGCACTCTGCGGGTGCTGCCTGTTCTACAAATGGATGATCGGTGCCCCCTGCACCACCCCCTGTGCCCGGCAGGCATATGGGAGCTGTTTTCCCAACAGCCTGGGCCCACTGCATGCCCCTGGGCCACACACCGTGCACAAAACCTCCAACCTTTCATCATGTGCCCTCACCTTCATAGCCTGCAATATAGTGGCAACCTTGCTCCTCTGTGTACCGGAGCCTCAGAGCAAGCAGGAGGCACTCATTCCTCTAGGCTGGCCACGGGAGCACGGAATCCGGGGCCACAGAGTCTGCGACAGCTCCAGGTAAGGCCCTGGGCACATGTTGGCTACCCTAGCTGGAGTGCCTGACACTCCAGGTGACCCCCGACTAGGCCAAAGGGGGCTTGCAGCGCTCCCTTACTGTCCTGCGACGACCAGAAACCTGCTAGCAATGATGTTCTCACAGTCACGCCACTGGTGGTCCTGGGAGGTGAAACACCAGGGCGGAGAAGCCAGGTGTGTCTGTGGAGTGGTCTCCCCCACGCGCCCGCCCCGGCCCGAGCGCCCGCACTCACCTCAGGGTGAACTGGTCTTCGGTGGAGTTCCTGGACACCGAGACGGGGAAGGTGAGCAGGTGGCCAGGCCGGACGGTCTGAGGCAGGTAGTGGACGGCCACGTTGTGGTCCAGGCGCAGCTCTCGGAGGGCAGGGGGGCCATGGGCTTGACACAGGAACACGCTCCCGATCCTCTGCAGGGGGGGTGCCGGGTCGTCCGCATCTCCCCGGCCTGTGCGGGGACTGCCCCCGGCCCGTGGCGAGCCCTTGGCACAGTCTCCATGAGCGTCCCCGGGCTGGACGACGTAGTACAGCTCCACAGGGGTCCCCTCCAGTCGCTCGGCCACCTTCTTCCTGCCAGCCACCACCGTGGGGGCGCTAAACCAGGCGGGCAGCAGCTCCAGCTCGGCCACACACAGCCCGAGCGGACCTCTCAGCTGGCAGCCACCCCTGACCTCTCGGGTCTCCCGGAAGGCGAACACGCGCAGGCAGGGCAGCGGCTCAGGGGGGTCCTGGGCGTCCCAGTCCCGGCCCACCACGTAGAACAGGACCTGCACTCGGGGCCGGCTCGGGTAGACCCTGTCCTGCAGGATGTGAGGCTTCAGCTTCCAGCTGAGCGGACACTGGCTGGCGAGCCCGCAGGGGCTGGGGGACTGCAGGAGGTCCCGGGGCACGGGCTGCCGCGTGGAGAAGGGCCCGTAGCTGGCGCTGAGCACAGGCGGCTGCCGGGCCCGGTACACCAGGAAGGACTCCACGCGGGACTGCAGGCTGGAGTTCCTCATGATGTCCTGGTTGGCCTCCTTCAGGAAGAAGACCACGTCGGCCTCGTGCATGCGGTACGTCACCGGGAGGTAGGTGGGCAGCAGGGAGAACCGCTGGACGCTCTCCAGGGCCCCTCGGCTCTGGGCCACTGCAGGGGGAGACAGAGGGCAGGGGTTAGAGGCATGTGACAACCCTCCTCCTGCCCCCACCACCCCGGACCCTGAGCTATGAAGACCTCATCCCCTGTCACACCAAGACCCCCTCTGGGACCCCTCAGCTCTGGGGCACCACAGGCCAGACATTAGAGGGCAGACATTTGAGACACGGACCCCCAGGCCATAGTCAGACCCCTTCACACCATCGCCCTTTGTAAAAGGGCCTCTGGTTCACCCACTCACTTCATGATTAACAGCGTGCTGAGCAAAGCGCGGCCGTTCCCTGGAAGGGCAGGGCTTGAAGGCAGCCAGCAGCACTGAGGAGTGGAGGCAGTACGGGGAGGGCTGGGGATGGGCCCCCCATGAAGCCTCCAGCCTGGGAAGCCCCCAGGGGTGGCTCTCCCCTATCCTGCGGGGTCGCTGCTCTGGAAACCCGTCCATCCCACAGCAGCAGGTTTGGTTGGGGTCCTTGAAGCCGCCAGGCTGAGCATACGTCAGCACAAGCGCCCCTGCTTCCCTGCCGGCAACTGCCGAATCCCATAAGGAACATAAGCGGTACTTTCGTTAT